AAAAAAAGAACCTCGGGGAAGGGAGAGAGGGAGGGGATGGTAGGGGGAAAACAATGGAGGGGGTAACAATGTTCAAGAGGAAGTGTACTCATTACCTCACTCATGTAACTATAACCCTCTGTATAGTATCTTTACAATAAAAAAAAGAATGTGTCTGTGTTCTATGTGAAAACATTAAAGGAGCCCTTTAAAACAGTATTAAAACAGTATAAAAAGAATTCTTGATTTATGTTCTATTAACAGATAGGTAATGAAGGTTTAGCAGCTGACCTAACTGATGATCCTGATACTGAGGAAGCATTGAAGGAATTTGATTTTTTAGTGACTGCTGAAGACGGTGAAGGAGCTGGAGAAGCACGGAGTTCAGGAGATGGCACAGAATGGGGTAAGGTGATTTAAAAGAAATTGGGGGTGGGAGGAAATCAAAATTTTCAAGATGGATTGTTTTTTTTTCATTTTATTTATTTATTTTTTTATTGTGAAAATACTATACAGAAGGGAAGATGGATTGTTATTAAACATTGTTTATGGATGTATGTATTTGAATGTATGGTGACAGGTAAAATGAGAGCAAGGAAAGGGACATTTGAATAAATTACAAGTTATTTTATGTTAGTTTACTTAGATTTGGCAACTAACTTGATCAATATTGCTTTTGATTTTTGAAATTCATCTTGATTTAATGTGGAAATATTCAGTTAATATAAAAATTCTTTCCCTTTAGCACTTTTCTTCTAGCATCACTCATTTTTAAACATTCCTGTTATTTAATTTGGTAATCTAGGCTTCAAGAGGATTTTAATTCTTAGGAAACAGACACATTATCTGATTTATTGCTACTGATACTGACAGCCCCATATTAAGCATAATTTAATGTTAATTAAATGTTTTTACATATAATATTCAATGTAGCAATGGTAGGGACCATGTTTTCAAAGTAGTACATACTCCTTATTATCTGGAGACATTATATAATCGAAAGCCTCATGAAAGAGACAAACAGTTTCATCTGTACTGAGTTTAAATCCTCACCAGAAGCCAGGCATTGGTGGTTTATGCCTGCATAAACTGTCTTAGGAGACTGAAACAGTTATGATTTGTGGCCAGCCTGGGCAGAAAAATCCACTAGACTTCATCCCCAATTAGTCAGTAGTTTGCAAGTGGAGATGTGATTCAAGTGGAAAAGCACAAGTTGTGAGCAAGAATACCAAACAAGAGCCTGCAGCCCAGAGTTCCAGCCCCAAATGGACACCAAAAAAGAAAGAAAAGCAGTACAAAATACAATAAAAGCATAAAAATATTGTAGGATAATAGCTGATGTCTAGTTTTTATTGATAAGTTTTAATTGATGTTCATTCAGTTGTCACTTAATATCAACATTTTACATAATCGAACAGAAGAAATCAGCTTTATTGGAGTTTTACAGGCTTTGTTAGTACATAAAAGTTTAAAGTGTGTGTGTCTGTCCGCGTGTGCGTGCGTGCATGCGTGTGTATGCGCGCGTGTGCACACCTATATCCTGGGGCTTGATCTCTGGATGCTGACCTTGAGCTTTTGTGCTCAGGGTTATTGCTCTACCTCTTGAGCCACAGCAGCACTTTTAGCTTTTGGGAAGTTAATTGGAGATAAGAATTTCATAGACTTTACTGCCTGACTGGCTTCAAACTTGGACCCTCAACTCTTCAGCCGGCTGAGTAGCTAGGATTACAGGTGTGAGCCATCAGTACTTGGCTTATTTAATTACCTTTAAGAAGATATATTACTAGATTTTTTAAAAAAGTACTTTGATGATGAGAAACATTCTTAGGTTAAAAAAATGTTATACGTTGACACTGAATATTGCTAATAGCAAGTGACAAACACACATATACACACACACACGTGTGTGTGTGTGTCTGTGTGTGTGTGTGCATGGACTTTTTATTTTAAAACGAATCTGTTTCTCCAAAGATTTGGATTTTATTAGCAGTATTGTCATTGTTTATAATAATTTGAAAGCCTCATTTTTTAAATTTTCACTTATCTTTAGAAATAAGCACATTTTTTAGAGACATATTAATTCAAAGCCTTAACTATACAGTAATTTCTAGATTTAATGGATTTTTGTACTGTTTTGAAAATGGGGCTGGGAAGGTGGCTCAGTGGTAGAGTGCTTGCCTTGCATGCATGAGGCTGTGAGTTTGGTTCCTCAGCACCACATAATCAGAAAAAGCCAGAAGTGCTGTGGCTCAAGTGGTAGAGTGCTAGCCTTAAGCTGAAGAGCTGAGGAACAGTGCTCAGGCCCAGAGTTCAGGCCCCACAACCGACAAAAAAAAAGAAAAAGAAAAGAAAATGACTATATGTTTTATTATTGCTCAGAAGAAACGGTAAGATTTTTAATATTATTTTAATTTCTGTATGCAGCCCATTAAATGTTGAAAATCTTTTTTTAATAATTCAGAAATATATTTGTCTTGAATATTATATAATTATAGAAGTATATATTTACATATATTAAAGTTTATTGAGGATCTGTTTTGCTAAATCTTGTTATGCATCCATCCCTAAAGTTGCTAGACCTTTAATTCTTAATCAGAAGGATAAGCAAAGGTTTCAGGAAGTTAATCAGAATGAAATGGCATTATTTCTTTAATAGTAAAATATCAGTATGTATAGCTAATTGATCATCTTACTATAAATCACTTTTAAGAGAGGACTTAGTGAATAGCAGCCATTTCCTTTTTATTCTCAACATTTCTCCTTAAGTAAATGGAGATTACTAACAAGGCTGCTTACTTTCAGATGACACCAGAAACTTTGATCAATTTAAGTTTTGATGGAGAAAAGTCCAAAATGGTTCAAGTAGTTTCTTTACATAAGGAAAAAAATGTCTAGATATCTATATAATATGTTGTAGATTCATCATTTTTGTTCAACAAGTATTTTGTTAGTTTTTCTGAAGACAACAAATGTATAAACATCTTTTTTAATTTTTCTTTAATTTGATGGTTTTTTTTTTTAGCATAAATGAGCAAATTTTCAAATTCAAATTAAGTCTTTTAGCTGGGCACAGCTGGCTTACAATTGCTACTAAGGAGGCTGAGGATTATGGTTTGAAACTATCCTGGGCAGGAAAGTTCCTGAGACTCTTATCTCCAATTTAGCTCCAAAGTATGTCTATTGTGGCTTAAGTAGTAGAGCACTAGTCTTGAACAAAATACCTCAGGGACAGCGCCCAGGCCCTGAGTTCAAGCCCCAGGACTGGCACCAAAAAAAAGTCTTTATCCTAACATAACACAGTATTAACCCATAGTTATATAATTTACATAATATTTTATATATTAGCATCTTTTTAGTTTTCTCTAATTTTAAATTCTTTTGTCTTCTGAAAGCTTGTTTCTTTATTATCTATATTAGAGAGATGATATTAGATAGAGTTGAATATTAGTAATTATATGTTCTCATATCCAAATTTTAGTTGGCATCTTCCCTTTCCCCCCCTCATGGAGACTAGCCATTTTAAGGATATTTAATTTCTCCTACTCTGTGAGAGTATGATGTCTGAATGTTTGTAGTACTACAAAATAAAATTAGTACCTGAGTGGGGATTTGTTTAATATTTGTATGAAATAAAATTAGTTATAAATTATGCTACACTAGGAATTGTATAATTCTTCTGCTTTGGTAATCAGAATTACAATGATAGAATTTTATATTTTTGTGGTTTTGATTATTAGGCGTCAACATTTTTTGTGTGTGCATGTTTGTTTTAGACAAGAGTTCCCATGATTGATTCAACTTCATTTCTTGGTATTCCCCTCCCCCTAGATTTTTTAAAACAAGATTAATATGTAGAAGATTATGCTGCTTCTTCCCTTTTGCTCTTATCTATTTCTTATAAGCAATATCAAATCAGCTGTAACTTACCAGGCAAGTTTCAGGATATTGTTTGTGCATATACTCATCCACCAACCTGTTCTTTGCACTGCCTTAGTTGACCTTTGTTTTCTAGATTTGAGATTATCTTGCAAATATTTGTTTTTTTCTTAAGCTTATCTTTTTTTCACTTTTGCTTTTTTCACTTCACTCACTTTTGCTAATGTTCTTGCAGCTATTCACAGCTTCATTCTCACTAAAAGTTCTTGTAGACTACAGTTTGGCTATCTTAGTTAAACGTTTCTAATTTTCTTACAAAATTTTGTACCATGTAAATGAGGTTTTTGGTCTCATATAAACATTTCCTCAAAATGTTTCAATTTGATTTACTTCAAGTTGACAGTAAGGATTGTTAGCTTTGTTTAAGATGTTCATGAGCTATTCAAGTGGCTCAGTATCTAATGTCAGCACTCTGAAAGCTGACAGGAGGATTTTTCAGAGCCAGCGTCTGGCTTCAGTGAGAATTCTGTCTACAAAAAAACAACACATATGTACATAAATTATATAGTACACAGGTTTTAGATTACATTTAGATTTACATTTACATGTAAATAAGTCTATTTAAATTAGTGTAAAAGTTTTAGCTTTTCACATTGACTACTAATCATCATAGATGTATTAAGAGAAAAGTCTTAATTGTAGGAGACTCGAAGGCTAGTAAATACGTGAATCTGAGTGATGTTTAAATATGAAAGCATTTTATGTTTGCTACATAATAGCAGTCTATAAGAAAAAAGGACTTTTAAAATACAAGCTTTATTCTTTAAGTCTAGAAGGTAGAGGGGAATTAGAATATACTGAATTATCAAAAATTTACTGATAACAAAAATTTTATACATTTCCACAGAAACAGCCTCGGTGTTTTGGATTAATTTTTATAGCAGAGTTATTTAAACTCCTAGGTGTTAATCTCTGAGTGTTAAACTTCTTTAATAATATGGCTGCTTTAGAAATTCAGATGATGTAAAACCCTCAATACTTTACTTACAACAAAAAATAAGCTGTTTGTGAAAAATCTTTTTAATGTTTTCCTCTAGTTTCCTATGAATAATTTTTCAAGTACAAGTATTTACTTAGTATCATAGAGTTACTCATCTAAAATAGTTGGTGTCGTTTTTTAGCCGAGGTGTAGTAGTACGTTTCTAATTTTCCATGCTTATCACTGCTTATCTTACCCTGAAAAAAAAAAATCAATTCTAAGAAAATTCTTCAATGGAATTTGAGTTTTGTTTTGCTTTGTTTTTTGCTAATCTTAGTTGTAGACCAATGGAAGAAGGTAATAAGATGTTGAATTATTTGGGTAGAGTGGGGTCAAAGGTAGGATTTTTTGAATGCTTTGTGTTAATTACTTGAGACATATTTTGGAACTATGTGTGTGTAGTATATCCAACTAGAATGCTTCTCCATTAGTACAGTTACTGTGTGCATGCCAAACTAGTGTGACAGAAGGTGCATGACCTACTTTCATCAATGAAATGGCACTGACCTTTCCAGCTTGCACTTTTATGATTAATTCGCATGTAATTCATTCATTTGCTTATACGATGCTGGCTGAATAATTTTATTAACATTTTTATAAAGATGCAGTGATCTATTTTTTAGATTTCTGTCAGTCCATTGAAATAATAGCCTTCAAAATTTTAATATATAAAATGAAGCATATTTAACTGTTGTTTAGATATTTACAAAATGAGCATTTAGTTTAAGTTGTAAGTACCAAAACTGAGACTGCACCTTTAAAGTATTTTGAGTACATGCTATTGAAACATTTTTGTTATATAAAGCTATAACAGTTTACTGCCCACAGCTTGCATTGCCAACTGCTGATTTGTTTTCTTTTAATAATATGCTGCATGTAGATAAAGATGACCTGTCCCCAACTGCTGAGGTTTGGGATGTAGACCAGGGACTAATAAGTAAACTGAAGGAACAGTACAAGAAGGAACGAAAGGGGAAGAAAGGGGTGAAGAGTAAGTTCAGATTCTGACTATTATACTTTTTGTATGTCAATATTGACAAAATAATTCTTCAGCTCTGTTTGTTGTTGTTGTTGTTGTTGTTTCAAAAAGGGGGCAACTAACTTTAAACTTTGTCTGTTGTATTATTGAAACTTGGTCAAAATTCAAGATGTGTTAATTCAAGTAAAAATAACTTTAGGATAAGGGCGAAGGAAACTCATAAAGATAGAGTTTTTTTAAATTTTAAAAAGTTTGCCAAATTATAAGAATATTGGCTTTGGAATTTATGGAAGATGATTCAAAAGGGAAAAATGATAAATTAATCTATAATGTGTGCACTATAAAAGCTATATCTAGATTACACTCATCCAGATTCCATTTCTTAATTTACAATCCTTAAAATAAGTAGGAAAGTTTTAATTATAATTTCTGTTTATGACCACAGATAACACCCACTCATGAGTAGGGTTTTCTTGACTATTGTAGAAAGGAAAAGCCATGGGAGGAGGGGGCGGGGCAGGGAACTGATTAGTGATGATAGTTAAGATTATCTAGCCAATAGCTAGAAATAGTTGGGTACCTGGGTATGTTTCTCACTATGTCATAATTTGACTACTGTACTATAGCAGTATTAAGTGCTGCTTTTACAGAGCAAAGAAGTGATTCATCTCCTTTTTGTGAATCAAATTCAAAGCACCCACATGAAAAACGTCTTCAGACACACGGTAAACAGAGAAACCTTGTAGCCTCTCTCTCTTTTCCCTTCCTCCCTCATTCCCTCCCTCCCTTCCTTCCTTCCTTTTTCCTGGAACTAGAGCTCTAGCTTGTCAAGGCTGCTGTGCTACCCATATGTATGAGTTATACCTCTACTTCTGGGAAATCTTAACTTTGAGCTAGCTGTTGACTCTTATTAGCATAACCTTTTCTTTTTACTATATCGATGAGAAAATAGTGCATGATGAAAGCAAAAACTTTGTAGGCATTGTTTCATATTCCTTTCTCTGATGACAAATATATTCGTTTGTAAAATGGTAGGTGGGTTTAATGTAGAAGCTCAGGGACAGTTTCCAGGTTCTGAATTCAAGCCCCAGGACTGGCCCCCTCCCCCAAAAAAGGTTTTTTTTGAGTACTTTATTTATTACTGTAGAGGTATAAGTGGGGTTTTGAGCATTTTGCCTGTTACACATATTTTCTTTTATGCTAATTTATGTTACTGCATGTGAATAAAAGGATATCTTATTCTTTAATGAGTTTCATAGTATATTATGATTTGCTTATTATATTTAGAAATAATAATTTATTACCATGCTGATATGTTCAGTTTTAACATCACTTACCTATAGTGTATGCATGTTGTATATGAAAGTACTATTGCATGATTGAATTAGCATAGCAAAAAGGTATTTGATTTTTAGGATTAAGGTTTTTTGAGAAGTGAGGTAGTTCATCCTAATATTGGACTACTTTATCTGTTTTATTTATATGTTATCATATGCTCCCTTAATCTGTGAAAGATTTCTTTTTTTTCTTTTTTTTTCTGTCTTTTCTTTTTTGGTACTGGGGATCAAACCCAGGACGTTGCGCTTGCTAGGCAAGCGCTTTGCCACTGAGCTACATCCCAGCCCACTGTGAAAGATTTCTTTAGAAAATATTAATTGATGTTGCTTCTAACTTAAAATAGAAGTGTTATATTCAATTTTTAGATAAGGGACCTAGATCCTTTTGAAGCTTAGAAATAAAGTAATACCAGACACCAGTGGTTTAGGCCTAAAATCCTAGCCATTCAGGAGGCTGGGATCTGATGATTGGTTTGAAGCCAACATAGACAAATCCAAGACTCTTATCTCTAATTAGCCAGGAAAATATTGAACTGGAAATGATGTTCAAATGGCAGACCACATCCATGATCAAAAAAAGTCAACTGAACGGGGCACTAGTGGCTCATGCCTGTAATCCTAGCTACTCAGGAGGCTGAGATCTGAGGATAGTGATTCAAAGCCAGCCTGGGCTGAAAGTCTGTGAGACTCTTATCTCTAATTAACCACTAGAAAATGGTGTTGTGGCTCAAGTGGTAGAGCACTTGCCTTGAGCTGAAGAGCTTAGGGACTGCGCCCAGGCCCAGAATTTAAGCCCCACAACAGTCAGGGGGAAAAAATAAAAGCCAACTGAGAGCGCACAAGTCTCTGAATTCAAGCCACAGTACTGTAACAAAAAAGGATAGGGGGTAGATAATAAATACACCCAAGGTATTTTTTTTTTCAGTTACAAGTTTAAAACTTTAAGAACATGTTTAAGAAATACTTGAGTTGAACTGCAATTAATTTAAATCTTCATATATTGTTTTTTCAGTAGTGCTATATACAACAGTTTTAAATTTGTGCCATTTTAGCATACCATAAAAAAACAAAATTTTAAGCTAATTACCATTCTGATTATTTTTTCAGCTCTTTCAAACCACGCTACCCGTGAAACAATATTTAGATCACATAATATGTGAAATGAGTGAAAGGGAATGTGATTAAATCAGGATCTGTGGTCTCTTTGCTCTCAGATCTCAATAATACCTTATTTAGATGTGTTTTATTTTTCACTCTCCTTTAATTTTGGTTTTACATCTTCTTAAAAATTAACTTTGTCCAAAATTACTAAAAATTACATAGGTTTGGGGCTGGGAAGGTGGCTCGGTGGTAGAGCGCTTGCCTTGCATGCCTGAGGCCCTGGGTTCTATTCCTCAGCACCCCATAAGCAAAAAGAAAAAAGCCGGAAGTGGCGCTGTGGCTCAAGCTCTAGCCTTGAGCTGAAGAGCTGTGGGACAGCGCCCAGGCCCAGAGTTCAGGCCCCACGACCAGACCCAAAAAAACAAAACCAAAAAAATTACATAGGTTTGTTTCTCAGAAAGTATAAGAACACAAGTAGGAATATAAATATTGAAGTAAAATTCTCCTTTTTTTTCTTACTACTTGGAAATTAACTATCTAGTATTTAACATATCCATTCATCTTTTCATAAAGTTTTGGAAAAAACTGCATAAACTTTTTTGTGTTTTCAACAATATATTATTTAAATTCATTGTTTTTTTTAATGTTTCTAAAGTCTGAATTTTTGCTAGTCAGATAATACTTCATTTTGTAGATATAACGTAGCCTCCATCAGTTAAACTTTTTTTTGGGGGGGGGTGTCTGGTCGTGGGGCCTGCACTCTGGGCCTGGGCACTGTCCCTCAGCTCTTCAGCTCAAGGCTAGCACTCTACCACTTGAGCCACAGCGCCACTTCCGGCTTTTTTCTTTTTGCTTATGTGGTGCTGAGGAATCGAACCCAGGGCCTCATGCATGCAAGGCAAGCGCTCTACCACTGAGCCACCTTCCCAGCCCCTTTTTGTTGGTTGTGGGACTTGAACCCTGGGCCTGTGAGGTGTCCCTGCGCTCTTAGCACAAGGCAAGTGCTCTTCCGCTTGAGCCACAGAACCACTTCTGATTTTCTAGTGGTTAATTGGAGATAAGAGTCGCACGGACTTTTCTGCGTGGGCTGGCTTTGAACCATGATCCTCAGATCTCAGCCTCCTCAGTAGCTAGGATTATAGGCATGAACCACTGGTGCCCGGCTTCCGGGCTGGCTTTGAACCCCGGCATGATCCTCATCTCTCAGCCTCTTGAGTAGCTAGGATTGCAGGAGTGAGCCACTGGTGCTGGGCTGTGTAGCTGTCTTCAAATAGTTTTAAAATAGGAACCAGAAGACTGGGTTGTAGTGACTTCAGTGATAGAGTGCATGCCTCACATGTGAGGCCCTGAATTTGATCTCGTAACATATGTAAAGAAAGTTAAAATAGGAAGGAAGAATTTCCCATTGTAGTAGTTGTAATCATTTTTTCTCTTTCTACAGACCCTCTGGTGATGTTCTTGAGACATTCAATTTTTTAGAAAATGCTGATGACAGTGATGAAGAAGAGGAAAATGACATGATTGAAGGCATCCCAGAAGGAAAAGATAAACATCGAATGAATAAACACAAAGTAAGTAATTTATTTTTTACATTCTTTTTAATCATTTTTAACAGGTCACTTGAAGGTATAGAAGAAATTATTTGTAACATTATTCACTAATTGGGCAAAAAGTTCTTTTTGTTTTTGTTTTGTTGGTCGTGGGGCCTGAACTCTGGGTCTGAGTACTGTCCCTCAGCTCTTCAGCTCAAGGCTAGTGCTCTACCACAGAGCCACTTCCGGCCCTTTCTGCTTATAAGGGCCTGAGGACTCCAGCCCAGGGCCTAATGCATGCAAGGCAAGCACTCTACCACTAATTTTTTCTGCCCAGGAATGGCCTCAGACTGCAGTCTTCCTACCTATGCCTTCTAGATAGCTAGTATTAATAGGTGTGCACCATCATACTGGCTTATATGTTGAGATGGTGTAACTTTTTGCATGAGATGGCCTCAAAATGCATTCATTTCACCTCCTGAGTAACTGGGATTAGAGGCCTGAGCCACCATTCATGCTTGACCTAAATTGTTAACTCTTAATAACATTTCAGCCATTAGTACCATGTTGCTTAGCTCACATCATACAAATGGTCTTGGTGCTATACTATTGAACCTCGTTTTCCATGTGAATTACACATTAAATCTAAACTTTTGATCCAAGGACTTAAAAATGAATGTGTCTAATGGGACTACCTTAAAATAAAAAGCTTCTGCACAGCTAAATCTATCGCAACCAAGCT